ACGTGTTTTGTTTTGTTGTTGGAGATTAATGGAGCTTAGTTAATGCCTGTTTAGTTTTTGTTTGGTTGTTCTTCTGATACGTGAGTAACTTGTGTGGACTGTGGGCTATTTCAACTGAGAAGGGTCGCATTCAATCGTAGAGTTGTTTTAAAGGGAGGGATGGAAAAAGAAGGAGAGAGAATCAGAGAGAAAGGAGAGAGAGAGAGAGAGAGAGAGAGAGAGAGAGAGAGAGAGAGAGAGAGAGAGAGAGAGAGAGAGAGAGAGAGAGAGAGAGAGTTCAACTGGACAGAATTTCATTTAATTCCACCCTCCCGTCCACCCCCCAAGATCCTCTGTCCTCAAAGGAAAAATCTGGAAAGTTGCATTGGAAGTCAGAAGCATTTTCCCATGTAGCTTGGGAATGGTCTCTCGTCTTCCCATTGAACTAGAAGCTGAATAATAGGCTTATTGTGTTGTTTGACGAGTTGTATGTCAAAGATGCATTGAGAAATCTTCTGAATAGGGTGCATCTGCAATGTAATCTGAACAGGTGTTTTCTTGAAGCTGAGAGACGTGAAAGGTGGAGAGAACTTTGCTGCCAGCAGGGAGTTGTAATTTGTAAGCAACTTGTCTGACCTTTTGGAGTATTGCAAAGGGACGCTTGTATGAGGTATCGAGCTTCTGCTTGCCTCTGACCGATACTGAAGTTTGTCTTATGGTCGAAATCGAACTAAACATGATCTCCAACCTGAAAAGATCTTTCTGAATGTTGGAATCTGCAAGTTGTTTCATTCGGTTTTGAGCCCTTTCTAGATGAAATTTTGAGAGTCTGAGATTGTCCTTCCTTTATGTTAAGAATTGATCTAAAGCTGGAATCTTAGAATCACCAGGAATATATGTAATATAAATGGAGGGTGGATAACCATATAATGCTTCAAAAGAGGACATCTGAATGGCTGAATGAAAATTGGTTTTATACCAAAATTTAGCCAATGGAAGCCACTTCAACCAGTGGGAGGGAGAGTCGTGGCACATGCAACTTAGATATGTGTCAACGCACTTGTTTATAGCTTCTGTTTGACTATCTGTTTGAGGGAAAGCTTATAGTGAGTCTCCCTGAAATTGAAAAAGCTGTAGCCAGAAGGTACTAAAGAAGAGAGGATCTCAATCACTCACAATGGTCTCTGGAAGACCATGTAGTCCGTAAAACGCAATTGTTTGAGCTGTAAATGGATGAGATAGTGCCTGAAAATGGAAATACTTTGTTAGGCGATTGATGACTACCCAAATGATACCTCTTCCTTGCGACTTAGGCAGCCCTTCGATAAAATCCATCTAAATACTTGTCAAAGTTGTGCGTGAAATAGGTAAGGGCTGCAACAAGTGTGGATATGCAGCTAGATCTCCCTTGCATTGTTGAAAAACATGGCAGCCACATAAAGAGTTTCTCACATCTTTTTCCGTTCATTTCCAAGAAAAGAGAAGGGATAAATTTTTGTTAGTGGCTTGAACCTCTGAATGTCCTGCAGGTCCTTCATATGTTTCCTTGGGAATTCTTGCTCTTAAATCAGCCTTAGCTCCTACAACCAAATTTCCTTTTCTTTTCAATAATCCTTGGTTCTAAGTGAAAGGGGTATCTCCGGTGGGATCTTCTAGAGGTTGTTCTCTGAAGTTAATATCTTGGTCCCAGTTTTGTTTAACTTCTTCCAGCCGCATTGGTGTTATTATAGAGACTGCCATAAGCATTAATGTGGTGGTTGGCTGCCTTGAGAGGGCATCTGCTGTTGAATTCTCCATTGGTTTTTTTGTATTGAATCTCCTAGTTAAATCCCATGAGCTTAAGTAACCACTTGAGTTGACTGTTCATGGCCATTCTTGCTCTAGGAGATACTTAATGTTGTGGTGGTTGGTTTTGATAATGAATTTTCTCCCTAGGTGGTAATGCTGCCATTTGTTGACTGCAAGACCATTAGTTCTTTTTCATAAATAGGTAGGAATTGATTTCTAGGGGAAAACATTTGACTAATGAATGCAATAGGGTGTCTTTTTTTGCATCAAGCTGTTCCTAATCATTCTTCAGAAGCATCCATCTCCACCACAAATAGTTCCTCAAAGTTTGGTAGTGCCAACACTGGAGCTGTAACTAGTGCTTTTCTAGCTTGACAAATACTCGTTGAGCTTCTTTAGATCACCAAAATTGTCACTCCTTAAGCATGTTAGTCAGTAGCCTTGCAGTGGATCCATAATCTCGGATAAATCTTTTCTAACAGTCGTGGAGTCTCGGAAAACCTCTCAGGTGCTTCGGGTTGGTGGGCTGAGGCCAATCCTCTACTGCTGCAATCTTCTTTGGATCAGTGGACACTCCTTTGGTGATTATGCGTCTGAGATACTCCACCTTAGTTGTACCAAAAATACATTTGCTTCACTTGGTTTTAGTTGATTCTTCTTAAGCTGCAACAATGTTTGATACCAGTGATTTTTATCATCTGATGTAAAATGAGTATATACCATGATGTCATCTAAGAATAGTATTAAAAATTTGCAGAGAAAAGGTTTAAATATCAGTCATATGGGCTTGGAAAGTTGAGGGCGCATTTGTCAGCCCCAAGGACATGGACTAAAAATTCATAATGCCCTTCATGAGTTTGAAATGCTGCCTTCTATATATCTTTTTCCACCATTCTAATTGGATGGTAATCTGACTTTAGGCATAGCTTAGAAAACACTATTTAGCCTCCCAACTCATCTAGCAACTTATCTATGATTGGAAAGGTAGAAAACACTATTGAACCTCTAAACTCATTTAGTAACTCTTTCATGATTGGAATGAGGAATTTATCTTTGATAGTCCACTTAGTAGTCTCTCCATAGCCTCCACACATTCTCCAAGAGCCATCTTTCTTCTTTACTAGAACAATGGACGAAGAAAAAGGGATGTGGCTATTCCATATCACCCCTGCTTCCAATAGGTTCAGCTATCATATTCTGAACTTCATCTTTCTGCTCTTTGGACTACTTGTAGAGTTTGATGTTTACTGTTTTTGTGGGGTTTGACAAAATTATTCTATGATCATGACTTTCTTTTTCCCTGTAGCAATGTCTTTAGATCTCCCAAAACATCTTCGAATTGGTCAAGTACTGGCTGCAATTGACTTGCAAAGTTGTCTTCCTTTGTTACTAATTACTGGTCTGGAACAGGTTCATGCTTGCATATAGATCAAAACTGATCTGTTTGGCTTCTTCTTAGCAATTTCATCATCTTTATTAGGGACACTTCTTTAACTATTCCTTCTGTTTCTCCTTGTAACTACACTAATCTTTCTTTCTTTCTGAATAATATTGTCAAGTGCTTGAAATTCCAAACTATATCTTCAAATTCTGCAAGCCATTTGATTCTTAGAACAGCCTCCGTTCCTCCCAATGAAATTACTAGAAATGAGGCTTGGAATGATTCTCCTTACATGGACCAACTCAAGTTCTCACAGGATTGCGAGCAATCCAATGTGTGAGCACCTGTTACCTCCACTTTGACTTGTGTTAGATAATGGAACTGTAGAAATATTTGGAATAAGTTATATTTATTGTTATTGCTTTCTGTTATTTATTTTTGTTAGACAACCAGGTACCGTAACAGAATGCTAGCTGTTATTTAGTAGGGAAGGTTGTTAATTTGTTTTTTCCTTCTGTTTTGCTTATAAAATGAGACACAAATCATTGATGTAATAAGATGAAAAAAAGAGAGTTTTTTCCTACTCTCAAAATCTTCATGTTATTAGAGCATAGCTGATCCAAATTCTTCAGCATCCCTCTTGCATTCAGTAGGCAATGGATGAACAAACTTCTTCTCCTCCTGAAGTCCTTTTGGGCTCCTATCTTCCGGTGCCTGATAGCCATGCTCTCATTGATCCGGTTCCTTCTTTTGTTACTGACCATCGACTAAATGGTAGTAACTATCTACAATGGTCGTCCTTAGTGTTAATGTTCATTCGAGGGAAAGGCCGGGATGAATATCTCACTGAAGAGTTTTCACCACCTCCCGCGAATGATACAAATGCTCGGACATGGAAAGTAGAGAACAATCTTGTTATGTCTTGGTTGGTGAACTCAATGACCATCGAGATTGGAGAAAATTTTCTCCTTTATGAGACTGCGCACGATATCTAAGTCGCAGCCCGTGAGTTTTACTCCACTCGTGACAACACTTTCGCCATCTTCGAAGTTGAAGCAAGTCTTCACGACCTGCGCCAAGGAGAAAAGACAGTAAGTCAATATTACAATTTTCTTATCCGAAAATGGCAGCAGCTTGATGCTTTTGAGGAACATGCTTGGAGCTGTCCCGAGGATGATAGGAGATTCCGAAGCATCGTGTAACAGAAACGAATAGTCAAATTTCTCTTCGGATTGAATAAATACCTCAACGAGGTAAGAGGACGCATTCTTGGAACAAACCTCTCCCGAACATCAGAGAGGTGTTCTCTGAGGTGCGACGCGAAGAAAGCAGGAAGAAGGTGATGATGGGTGAATCGCAACTCAGCCCTAACCTTGCTAAAAATAGTTCTCTCTCACCCGAGACTGGTGTAGCTCTCACAAATCGGGTGACTGAGCGGAAGGGACGACCATGGTGCGAATACTGTAAAAGACCTGGGCACATTCGTGGAAGATGCTGAAAGCTTTACGGGAATCCAGCTGAAAAGAAGACACCAAAGCAGGAGACTCATCGGGGCAATTTTGTCTCAATTGAGGAGGAATCAGCTGTGCAGCCTTTCTTACTGAAAGTCCTTTATTTAGTCCTGAACAGATCAGCCTTATCCAGAAAATGTTTTCTCCCAATATGGTTCTTGGTAATGCTTCCGCAGCTCACAAAGGTAATTTTTCTGGTCTCTCAACTTATTCCTCAAAAAGGGGCATGTAGATTATTGATTCGGATGTTTTCGACCATATGACCGGAGATATCTCACTATTTAAGGAGTATAATAAGTGCAGAGGTAAATTCTCAGTTAAAATTGCTAATGTCTCCAGTTCCCAAGTTGAAGGAATAGAAATAGTTGCACTGTCACCCAAGTTAATTTTGTATTCTGTGCTATACATTCCAAATTTGGATTGTAATCTCCTGTCACTATCACAAGATTTGAATTGTGTAGCTATATTTAACTTTAAACTGTATGAATTTTAGGACTTGAACTCAGGAAAGACGATTGACGATGCTAGTATGGATTCAGGTCTTTATCTACTGTGAGTTGACAACTCTTCTCTTAGTAGACAAACTCATCATGCAGTATGTACTAATTCTGAATCTGTAAACAATTTAAATAGGAAATGCCCCATCATGTTATGGCATTACCGTTTAGAACATTTTAATTTCTTGTATTTGAAAAAGCTATTTCCTACTTTGTTTCGAAATAAAAATCCAATTTCCTTTCAATGTGAAGTATGTCAATTGTCCAAACATATTCGAAATTTATTTCCTAATTCAGTTTACAAACTCACAAAATATTTTTCATTAATTCATAGTGATCTATAGGGTCTCTCTCGAGTTACTAATATAACCGGGACAAAATGGTATGTATTTTTTGTTGATGACCACTCTAGAATCACTTGAATATTTCTCATGAAAGAAAAATCTGAAGTTGGCCAAATTTTTCAAAAATTTCACACTATGATTCAAAATCAATTTCACACTAAAATTCAAGTATTGAGATCAGATAATAGGTGTGAATACTTTAAAACTATTTTGAGACAATATTTTTCTGACCACGGTATTATTCATCAAAATTCCTGTGTTAATACCCCACAATAAAATGGCATAGCTGAACGAAAAAATAGACGCATTCTTGAAGTAATCAATCATGCTTACTACCCACATTCCAATTTTTTTTTGGGGAGAGGCTGTTCTCATCGCTGCATACTTGATAAACCACATGCCATCCCGAACTCTCGCATTTCGAACACCCTATATGATACACTCTTAAAGGCCTTTCCACAATCTCATATCCTTCATACCCTTCCCTACAAAGTTTTCGATTATTCAACCTATATCCATGTTCGTACTCACCTCAGAGGTAAACTTGACCCAAGGGCCATTAAATGTGTTTTTGTTTGATATTCACCAAATAAAAAAGATACAAATGTTTTTGTCTCAGGACCCGTCGTTTCTACAACACTATGGATGTTACTTTCTTTGAAAATCAGTCATTTTATTCTACTACTGATATTCAGGGGGGACAATATTAATCAGGAATATCAAGTATGGAATATAAGTATACCACTTCTCACCTCTCTTCCCCACACAATTTTCGAGTTCTCATCAAATTTCCTATAAACTAGTATCAAAGAGTCTGAACCTAAACCTGTACCTGCTGCTATCAACAAAGAGTTACGTGTCTATATTAGGAGAAACAAAACTCCAGCTGATAAAGATTCTGAACCAACTACACATTGCCATGAGTCTATTCTAGTTCCGAGCAGTAAGGACACATCAGGTAATGAGTTTTTACACACAATTTCTGATACTATTACCATTACAGACCATGATATTGAGTTATCTATTGCCTTGCGAAAAAGAACTCGATCTTGTACTAGACACCCTATACAGGATTATGTTTCATTCAGCAATCTGTCTTCAAAGTATCATGCATATGTAAGTAAGCTTGATGGCAGCTCCACTGAATTTAAAACAATTCATGAAGCCCTTGCACTACCAGAGTAGAGAGGTGCTATTCAAGAAGAGATCAGGGCTCTAGAAAAGAACAATACTTGGGAACTGACAAAACTTCCACCTAGAAAACATAAAGTGGAGTGCAAATGAGTTTTCGCTACAAAACACAATCCAGATGGAAGTGTGAATTGGTATAAAGCTTGTCTAGTGGCTAAAGGCTTCACTCAGTTCTACGGGGTAGACTATCAGAAGACATTCGCCCCAGTGGCTAAGCACAACACTATTCGGGTATTACTTTCTCTTGCTTCTAATCTTGATTGGTCTCTCTGTTAATTTGATGTAAAGAATGCATTTCTCAATGGTGATTTAGAAGAAGAGAAATATATGGAAGTCCCTCCGAGCCTTGAGATGACATATAAATCTCATAAGGTGTGCAAATTGAGAAAGACACTCTATGGTATAAAACAATCTCCGAGAGCTTGGTTTGACAGATTCACCAAAGCTGTCAAATATATGGGCTATGAGCAGTGTCAGTTTGATCATACTTTGTTTGTTAAGAACAATGCCTATGGTAAGTAAGCGATTCTAATTGTTTATGTTGACGATATTATTTTTACAAATGATAACATAGAGGAAATTCAGAAACTCAAAATATTTCTTGCCACGGAGTTTGAGATAAAAGATTTTGGAGCACTCAAGTATTTTCTGGGAATGGAATTTGATCGTTCTAAAAAGAGAATATAGGTGTCACAACGAAAATATGTTCTTGACCTACTGAAAGAAATAGGGATACTTGGGTGTAAATCAGCAGAAACACCCATGGACACGACTACAAAAGTTGGATTTAAAACCAATGGCAAGCCAGTTAATAAAGAAAGATATCAGAAATTTGTGGACAAACTTATTTATCTCGCTCATACTAGACCTGACATCAGTTTTGCTGTTAGTATTGCAAGTCAATTCATGAACAAACCTACTGATGATCATATGAATATAGTGTATTGGATCCTAAGGTACCTTAAGAAGACTCTAGGACAAGAACTATTTTTCCAGAAAACAATGAACAAAAATATTGAAATCTACACAGATGTCGACTGGGCGGGTTCTGTAACTGACAGAAGATCTACATCTGGATATTGTACTTATATTTTGAGAACTTAGTCACTTAGTAGAGTAAGAAACAATCTGTTGTGTTACGAAGTAATGCAAAAGCTGAACTTCGGTCACTTGCTCATGGAATATATAAGGGGGTTTGGTTAAAAAGGATTCTAATAGAAATAAAATTCTCGGTTACTACTCCCATGAAAGTATGGTGCGATAATCAATCAACAATCACCATAGCTAAAAATTCTGTAAATTATGATCGAACTAAACATGTGGAGATAGATCGACACTTCATCAGAGAGAAGATTGAAGATCAAACTATTACAATACATCATGTTATTATTAGTCAGCAAACTGCAGATATTTTAACAAATGCACTTCCCAAAGGACCTTTCAACGAATTGATATCCAATCTAGACTTACCCAACATTTACGTAACCTAGATTGAGGGGGAGTGTAGAAATATTAGGAATAAGTTATATTTACTGTTACTACTTTCTGTTATTTATTTTTGTTAGACAACCAAACACCGTAACAGAATACTAGCTGTCATTTAGTAGGAAAGGTTGTTAATTTATTTTTTTCTTCTGTTTTGCCTATAAAATGAGAAACAAATAATTGATGTAATAAGATGAAAAAAGGGGAATTTTTTACTGCTTTCTGTTATTTATTTTTGTTAGACAACCAGACACCATAACAGAATACTAGCTGTAATTTAGTAGGAAAGGTTGTTAATTTGTTTTTTCCTTCTGTTTTGCCTATAAAATGAGACACAAATCATTGATGTAGTAAGATGAAAAAAGGGGAGTTTTTTCCTACTCTCAAAATCTTCAGGAACAACTAGCACCTTTGCCACCGTCACATTCAAAAAATTGTTGGCTGCTTCTCGAGTCAATCAGTATGTCGATTGGCCTTTTCTATATCAAACCTGTTACTCTCATGGTGCTGCTTATATCAGTGGAATTTCTGGTAATCTTTTATGGCAAATATAGAGATCGGGGTCTTACTCTAATTGTTCCTCCTCCGTCTTATCCATTAGTTCAACATCTTCTACTCCCATTTCTTCTTGCACTGTGATCATAAGCAACTTCTGATTTCTGCATCTTTGTCCCAACACATATTTCTTATCACAGAAATAACACAATCCCTTCAACCTCCTATCTTCCAACTCCTTCTAGGTAGGTTTTGTGGTTCTTGTATCTGGCTTAGGCAATAAACCAGGTCTAGGATTGGATTTTAAATCGATATTTGCGGGAACATTGTTGGAAACAGTGGGTTGATTTGATGCGAAATCAGTCTTTGAGGGAGGATTCAAGGTAGGTTGGTTGGGTGGTACATCTGTGGCTAACTGAAGCTTATATGGAAGGTAATTTGACTTTGGTTTATATTTTGGTGTCCACCAGGTAGGTTCTTTGCTTGGTTTCGGGGTAGAGTAATAACAATATTGATTGAATTGTTCATAGAGATTATGCACTACCTCTCCTTGTACTGAGCCAGGTTAAGCATGATATACACATTTACAGGTCTTTGAGAACGAACTAAATATTGGATGTCTGGTCAAAGGCCAAAGATGAACAAAAGAAATTGATATTCGGTCGGTAGGGTTACCTTGCTCAACAGAACGTCAAACACCTTAAAATAGTCCTTCAGGGACCCTTCTTGCTGCAATCTTATTAGCTTAGTGAGTGGCTCATAAAACACTCTATCTCAAAACGTAATGTTCAATAGGTGAACATATTCTTCCCACACAGGCCAATCCTATTCTCCTTGCACCTTCAAAAAGGTTTGATGCCACTCCAATGTTTCATCAGATACGCCGGTGCCACTTTCACCTTCCATTTTGCTGGTGAACCCTCATAGTTTAAAGATCTTCTAGCTCAGTTAATCCACCCGTTCAAGTTTTCTCCAACGAATTTTGGAAAATCTAATATGGGTTTGTGCATCGTTACTTCTAGTTCTTTCTGTTTATGTGACTGAGCTCCAAAATTTTCACCTTTCTTGAAGCATTGATTCCGAGTTATTATTCGGAGGTGATTGCTTAGCTATACTAAGCAGGAGCTGCTTCATTTCACTCAATTCTTGATTCATCTAGTCTTGTTCTAGGCTAATTTTCTTCTCCAAATTGCTCATTTGTCTCGAATTTCTTCCATTTTCTTGCTTTCATGGGATCTTGTATTCTTGGATACAACCTTTTGCTAGGAAAGTTGCTCTGATACCGCCATTACATGAATAACTTGTGTGGACTGTAGGCTATTCAACCTGAGAAGGTTTGCATTCAATCATAGAGTTGTTGCAAAGAGAGGGAGGGAGAAAGAAAGAGAGAGAACAGTAGAGAGAGAGATAGAATCCAAGTAGACATAATTTCATTTCATTCTCGATGTCTTTTCTCTTTAGAGTACAAGTATTCATATGGATTTTCCTAACTGTTTTAACCACTTCTGTTATTACCTTTTATTTTCCTAATTTCTCTGTACATAAATTTCTGTTTCCTATTCTATAGTTTTCCATTTGGCTTCCTTTCCTAATTGACACATAAATTTTCTTTGAAACAATAGATTTGCCTGAGAAACACTGTTACCAGGCCCTCTTTCCTTATAAATTGATTTGTTAATTGATTTTTTGAATGTGATTGTGGATTAAGGAAGTAAACTATCTGCGAAATTGCAGTTCCTTTTATATTTTACTTCATATTTTTGTGTGAAGCAATTGAATGCTAAGTTTATTTGGTTAATTTCGTTGTGGCAGATTTTTCAGCCTGTTGCTTTTGATGCTGAAGTGGATTTTAGCTTTGCATTAACTTAGAGTGGGCCAACAACATGCAATTTGCTTCTGATCTTGTATGATTTCAGTCTAGCATTATTTCAATTTTTGGTTTATATTGATAGTTTAATTCCCACAAGTCAGTTTTTTTTCTAAACTCTGTTTATGATTATTTACTCTCAGGCTTTATCTGTTGGTTTGATCTGTGGTCTTTAGGTTTATGGATGCACTTATTACTTATTCATGTAACTGACGGAAAAAAATTGAAGGATTTATTTAGGAATGATGGGAGGGTACAAGGGAAGGAAAAGAAGAAAAGAAAAAAATGCATTTCGAAAAGAAGAAAGAATGCACTTCTTTATGATGTGCGATTGGATTAATATGACCTTCATTGCTGAAAGTCCTTGAATTTTTTTTCTCAACTTTAATGTTCAGCTAAGATTTTCTTTTCTCAAAACTTCTTTTCCTCCATTTGTGACTGTGAAAGTAACTGATCATTCTTTCACTTGCTAGCAAGTGGCATTATGAGCATCACTTGGAAGAGCTACATGTCAGTATACAGGAGATGCTAGTGTTCTTTACACGTGGTATAGACAAATATAAGAGTGCATAACTATTCATCATCTCAGTCCACAAAGTCCTCTATGCTGTCATTAAGAGCACTTCAAAGGGCATAACTATCCATTCAATCTCAAAGATATGGACAGCTAATTATGTCCATTGCGTAATTTTGGTTGGGCCTTAAATATGTGATCATTCGAACCATAGTTAAGGTTCATCATCTTCTAAGACCAGCATAAAATCATCTCTAAATTTGTTATTTCATTCAGGGGATAGGCATAGCCGTTTGTTCGAAGTTCGAGTGAACCATTTATTAGGTTCATAATTTGATGGTACATAATAGCTTAGTAATGCATTCTTGATCTATTGGTTCATATTCTTTTCCTTTAGAAAAATTTTAGGATTCAAATCTATTTGATAGCTCTAAACAAGATATCAATACTTACTATCATACCAGTGACATGATGCAAAAACTCCCCAAAAAAAATGATATTTGAAATATCTGGAGTTGCTACTGATCTTATTGGAAGTGGGACAAATGTTAAATGTCCACCTACCTAATCCTAGAGGTTCCAAGGTCAAGATGAAATGTTATAGGAAAGTGTAAGGCACCTAACTTGGGACATTCCTACTAATGTGTGATTTGTAAGTCTAAATTATTTTTTATTTTATTTATTATTATTATTATTTTATTTTGGCTAGAAAAATTTTAACATGATAACTGCTCTAGTTTTGTTTGTATGTCTTTTTACAAAAGCCCAAGTAAAGACTAGAATTATCGTAGTTTTGTTTGAAAATTACATATATGGCCAAAAATAGCCCAAAATGCATGGGAACATCTATCGTTTTGTGTAGTACAAAACGTAGGGGTCATACATCATTTTGGTGTCAAATTTGAACCAGAATAAGCCATGACAGGAAGAGTTCATTTACAAAAAGAATGATGGGATGGTAATGGGCCGAGAAGGGGAAATTTATCGAGCAGACTGAGCCTGGGAGAGATTAGAAAATTAGGTCTCGGGTTAAAATCGATTTAGAGATCCGTGTCCCGGAAAAAACGCACAAACCCACAACTTGTATCGGGGATTTAGTAGGAAATCTCTCGATGGCAGTGAAGGTGGATGCATACACTGATTTTGATGCGGAAAGGACAAAAGAGGAGGGGGTAGACTAGTAGTGATTGGAGGATGAAGGATTGGGCAGGGAAAAGGGGAGAGATGATGACACATCTATGGTGCCGTGACATGGCCGAGATTGAAGATGAGGGTTCCGTTTGGATCCTTCTAATGGTTTTGGTGGAGAGTGATGCGGTGATGGTTACACTAACATGGGATGACATGGCTGTGGTGCAGTGGGAGAGACTAGTCGGTTAATACTCATCAAAAGCACACTGTCCACTCTTCTCATATGCTTTATATCCCTACTATCAATCCCGAAAAGTGTTGACAAGAAATTGGAAATAATTTAGTGCAGATTCTTGTGAGGTGATTTGATGGAGAGAAGGAAGTATCATTTGGTGGCTTGAGATAGAATCAAAAGACCACTTAATCAGGATAGATTGGGAGTGAGATCTATTGTTGAAATGAATCAGTCTCTCACAAGGGAAGTGGATATGGTGCTTTATGAAAGAAATGGGCATTTTATGGAGGAGAATTATTGAGGCGAAGTTTGGTACAATAGATAGAGGGTGGTATTCAAGAATGTCGGCCAAGACCATATGAGAAAGGGATGTGGAAGAGAATTTGCACAAGAAAGGAAAAATTTCAAAAATTTATTAAGGGGAGAATTGGAGATAGGGAGAGAATTAGTTTCTGGTCTGGCATTTGACTTGATGGAGGGGCTATGAGAGTTAGATTTCCATGGATTTTTGCTATTGGGCAGTATAAGGACATTTATGTTAAAAAGGCTTTTGTTGTAGGTGAGGATCGTAGACAATGGCATGTGGAGATAGTATGAAATCTTAATGATTGGGAAATAAACAAATATGAATTTCTATTGAGCTCTTTAACTTCAATTTCGCTTAGTGAGGATCATGATCAACCAGTATAGTAGAATTGGAAGATTCATCTTGAGGACTTTCTAAAATTTGACCAAAGAAGAGCAAATCGAGGGCAATTTCCCGTTCAGACAAATATAGAGAGTTAATGCACCCCCAAAGATAGCTTTTTCTGCTTGGGAAGCAGTTCGTGGGTGCATTTTGATTATTGATAAGGTAATGTGAAAAGGAAAAATCATGGTTAATTGGTGTTGTTTACGTAAGAGAACAAAGGAGATTTACGATCATATACTGTTCCGGTGTCGCATCGCATATAGTTTATGGTGTATGGCTTTTGGGATTATGTGATACAACTGGGTCATGACTGACATTGTTAAAAAGGAGGCTTGGGCTTAGAAGGACATTACGAATCGGAAAAAGCATTTGGAGCTCATTCTATTGGCAATTTTTTGGGTTGTGAGAAAAGAATAGGAGAATTTTTAAAGGGGTGGTGGAGGGTCTTGATAGGTTCCAAACTTTTGGAGTTTTGATTATGAATCAATATCTATATTCCATGAAAAATTTATGAGAACTAATTGACACGCGAACTAATATATAAATTCTTTTATACATGAGTTTACACTCTCTCGGTGCATATAATTAATGATACATATTACACTTTTTTTAAAAAAGTGATCTCATGGCCACCAGTTTTCCTTGTTGGTAAATCTAGAAGGGTAACACTACATTTAGAGTTGCTTTCTTTATGTAGGAGGCAAGTCGATGATATATTCTTACTCTTGACATACTGATTAGGGGGGCAAAAATATTGGTGAATGAGTCTTTTTTATGCAAAAAAGATGTGGAGTCATGTAATCACATCATTTTATGGTGTCCGTTTGTGTATAAATTGTGGACCCTAGCTTATGGACTGCTGGACTTCAATTGGGTGATGACTGGTTTGGTGAGAAAAGAAATTAAAAAGCATGGAAGGGTATTATTGGAGTGAAGGGATACTCATTCCCTTGCTATTATTTGGGTGGTATGGAAAGAGAAAAACAAGAGAGCATTTGAGGGGGTAGAAGATGGCTCTAATAGAGTTAAATATAGATGGCAAACCCTAGGTTTTTTTATTCTAGGTCATCTTGTTCATTTACGAAGGATTTTGAGGACAACATTGACATATTGATCAATATGTAGATACTTTTGTGTTTGGGTTTGCGCCTGTTGGTGCTTGTGAGTGAATCTTATCATTCTATTTTTATTTTAAAAAATGATAATCTTAGGGAAAAAATACTACCAAAACTTTGTCATATCGCACATAATCCTGAGATTGCAAAAATTGTCTCACTTAGAAGTCTGGAAAATTTGTCATGCCTTTGCTCGACTTACCTTCTACCTTAGGCTGAGCTAATATTCTTATGCATTTGAGTTGCAAATATTTTATTTTTATTTTTATTTTTTTGTTTTTCTAGGTTTTTGTTTCTTTTTCTAAAGAAAAAAACTCCCAATTTTGGTAAGAATAACCCATTTTTTGGTCAACATTTCAAAATCAGATATTTTTACAAAAAATATATTTTTATTATGTTGTTGTTGACTATGATAGTTTATTATTTAATTATTTTAGTTTATTTAATATTATATAATTAGGATTCTATAAAAATAATAATTTTGTATAATTAGAAAGATAATAGAATAAGAATTTTCCTATTAGTAAAATAAAAATTTTATAAATACTCTAAGTATAATAACCTAAAGAGTGATAAATAAAATTATTATTTTTTATTCAAAAATCAACATGGTATCAGAATTAAACAAAACTATTTTAGAGTTCTAATTTTAGAATTTTTTTAAAATTCTAAAATAGCATAATATGCTGGGTTGGTACCATTTTATCCAAATCTACTTTTATCACCACTCTAAACAAATCTGAGTCGAGCCGAGCCTCTGCCGAGCCGAGCCACTACCAGACATATCTGAGTCGAGTCGCTACCGGGCTAAACTGTTTTGAGCCGAACCAAGCCGTTTTGAGGTAAGTTTGAGCCGTTTTTGAGTCGATCTCGAGCCATTTTTGAGTCGACCTCGAGCTGAATTGCTGTTTGACAGATTTGGTTTCAGTTTGTAACTTAATCTGCAAGTTGGGCATGTGTGATATCGCTGCACCAACTTGAGATGGGGTGTTGATTATGATAGTTTATTATTTAATTATTTCAATTTTTTTGATATTATATAATTAGGATTCTATGAGAATGTTAATACTATAGAATTAGAAATTTAATAAAATAAGAATTTCCTATCAATAGAATAAAAATTCTATAAATATTATATTCAATACAAATCACCATTTCAGAAATTACAAATCATTTTCATGTATCCCATGTAACTTCAGTTCTTCATCATTCTTCTGATTCTTGACCTCATAAATTTTTACTATAGAAAGAATTTGAATTCCTTAGTACTCCCTATCAACAGTTGTCAATTTTAGTGATGAATATGCAAACAAATTTTAGAGTTTCTTAAATCAACATGCATAGAGCCAATGAATCTAAGTGATGACATTATTTGCATTAAGGGACAATGCTACCAAAAGCATATGCTGTTTATAAATTAAGAAAATTTTACGTTGCTCTTCACGATTTTACAAAAATTGCTCCAAGAAGCAAATTTGTTCAAAAAATGATTTCACTCCTATTTGTTTATCAAAGAATTGAGTCGAAATGACACTTTTTTGATTTATATGCAAAACCCGTTTCTCGACTCAAAGATTAATCAATTCTTTTTTATGGTTCATTCCGAGTTTAATAAGCGATGGTAACATGTATTTCCGTATATAATAACATAATGTGAGTGTACATATACTGCACTCACCTTGAAGCGGAGAATTCACATGTGCTACCAATGCGAGCTTGCGCATGGCTCTCACATTGGATCTGAAAGACTAGGTATACTCTAAACATGCAATACCTTTGGTTTCTGTCAAAATCCCATCAATGATCCTCATGCATCAAATTTCAAAATAGCTTGCAAATGATCACTAATCTTAACATACATCCATCATCATTGATCGAAAAATTCGATTAGTTCCCAGTAGAGTCGTCAAGCTGTCACATCAGTGACTTGGGGCAAAAACTCCGCAAAAGAATATAAAGTTTAAAGTATTTAGAGTCGCTACTATCCTATTGAAAGCGGGATCAGACACTAAATATCCATCGGTCTAATCCTAGAGAGTTTAAAGTCAAGATAAAACGATGTAGGAATGTGTTAGGCTCCTAACTTCGGACATTGCTACTAATTGTGTAATTTGCATGCCTAAATTATTTTTTGTTTTATTATTATTATTATTATTATTTTATTTTGGCTGACACATTACCAGTCTTTCACCTCGTATCACTCTCATTGTGACATGGACAAAGTCGTATATTTCATGTGATGATATAATTGCTGACATATAGTTATCCTAGTTATAGTACTAATTAACTACCAAACTAAGAACTAACGATCAATTATCTATTTTTTTCAGGTCTCCTCTATGTTAAATCCCAATTTAATGCATTAAGTTTTCTGAATTCCTTACAGTTAAAGTTCCCTTTAGTTACAATCTAAATAAGCCACATGAATATCTTAAGATCCCATTGGTTATTTCTATTTAACTCATGTTTTATTTTTTTAGTTTATTTTGATAATTTACCCATCCAATAAACATTTTATTACCTACTTATTTTATCATACATAACTTTGCATTCTGATCATATGCAGGTTCCATAGATAAAATAATTTTAAGCCTTAAATATGATAAAACACAATCATCATGCAAACAAACCTTAAATACGATAAAACACAATCATCATGCAAACAAATCTAAGACGACTACTTCATACTGTTGATTGAGTACATAAATTCAATAGAAAATAAATCTTAAGTATTTCTGTAAATACAAAGAAAAGATAAAAAACTTAGTCCTGGTGGAGAGTCTTGCACATGATTTTTTGGTCTTCACCTCTTTCTTAACGAAATCTTTTTAACTTCAGGAAAAGAACTCTAAAAAGTGGTTATCTAGATCTAAAAGTAAATTTATGGATTCTATACATACTTATAGCCCCTCTCCTATCTTTTATATAGCATCTTACCTAGTGCTCCAGAAAAACTTAGGATTAGTCTTTTCCATATAATCACATTGTAATGCCATGAATTCTCACTGCAACACCAAATTGAGACTTCTACACTATTGCAAAACAATGTCTAGTTGTTCTACGCAGTTTCATTTGCTACTATGCAACTTTTTATGACTCTCTCATTGCAACACATTTTCACCAATTGCATTGCAATTTTTTATAACTCTGGTTGCTTTGCTTCTGCCTTCTCGCAACAATGCACAAATGCTGACTCTGAACCTTGTTTCCTGTTATTCTTGCTTCATTTGCCTTCCAAAATATATATCTCGTTATTTGAACTAAAAATACTAAAAAGACATCATAGTTAACAAAAAAATTATGATGAAAATATACAAAAGTGTAGATAAAAATACAAAAGTTTGGCAAAACTCACCTCTAACTAAAATACATTTTGCGGGCCTAATATTCTAGACCCAATTTGCATTTAATTCCCCAAAAAATGTCTTAATTGATTCTAAAAGCTAATCAACTACTCTGGTCTATAAATGATATTACCTCTATTAATATTTCTAAATAATTCAATGACATTATTTTCTGGTTATAACTTATCGCATCCTCTTCAACAAACTTAAGGGCATATTACAATAGGAGTGTCGCGACGATTGTACCTACTATTCAAATAAAGAAATAAATCTCTAATTCTTGTAAGAATTCTATATTTATGTTCTTTTTTAGGTTTTAGTTTTAGTTTCAAGAAAGAAAACTTCGTCTAATGGACCTTTGTTCTTCACCTTGACATCTACACACTCTTGACTAAACTCAATTTGAAGGAAAGTTTGTTAGAACTTAAAGTCTTCACTCCCTTTTCCTATCTTTTATCTCTTACAATCTTTGCAATCCTACTTTACCCAATTTCTTGACTTGCTCTGATTCTTCTTAAATCTGGTTCCATAATATTAGAGATCTGGGTTGAGAACTAACAAACTCAGGCAAAACCCATATCTCGAACAAAATTTCAGTACATAGATTGCAGGGGGTTTAAGCAATCTAGGCAACTATGAAGTCATCAAAATATCATGGGGTAGTAACATTAATAAAGGAAAAAGAGGAAGGAGACAAGGAATACAGATGATTGACAAAGGAAAGGAACAGAAAAGCTAGTCACATACAATGGCCATGTTCATATATATATATATATCCTGTACATGTATATATGTGTATATATATGCACATATGGATCTATATCTATGTTTGTTTTTCTTTATCTGCCTTTCCTGTGAGGCATGCATATCATCAATAAGGCACTGAGGGAAATCTTTTGTTTGAAGGATCAAGAGAGTGAAGATCTGCCACAATATGAGCATATATATCAAAACGACTTCTCATGTCGAAAGTAAGATATTCTTTGTGTTTTAATTTGTGAAGCAACTTTTTGACTTCAAAAGCAATTACGGTTTAAGTACATTATGCATAGAAGTAATACATTATGCTGTGGACTAATTTGGATGCTCTACTTTGACTTCATCAGTTAATGTTATTTATCTGTTTATGATATGGTACCCATTCAGTACCGTCCACTTGACTCTGCTGTGGACTAGCATCTGGTTCTTCATGAAATGACATTATTTGCAGCAGTTTATAAAATCTTGCATTCTTTCCCTTGTAATTGGCCTTCTCTCCATCCAATCAGATTTTCCGTGTAGCAGTGTTTTGCCAAATTTTTTAAATTAAGATTGTCTGGGGATTTTAAGTACATTATCGACAGTCTGCTGCCTGCTATTATCAGCTTCTGAGTTCTAACTGCTGCTCTGCTTTTGATGAACTCACCAAAATGTGTGGCTCTATCTGCTTCTGAACTTGAGAAAGGTTTTGAGTAAGATGGCACCATCATCTCAATTGACGTGACTTTGGATGATTAAAAATGTTGTTTAGGTTGATTATTTTAACGGTTCATTGCTAGAGTATCATATTTCTGAAGGGATACATAGATGAAAAACTGCATTCTTTTGCTCAATGCTAGAGATAAATCTTGGGTTTATGAGCAGATAAATCTTCAAGCTTGGATGTTGCATACTATATTCTGCCTGTACTTTCTTTTGTTGACTAAAAATATTGATTGCAGTGAGTAGAAAGTTTCTGGCAATGACTATTCAACTGACTGTTTATATGAGCCAACTATAATTGCTTCTTCACTTGGAATGTATTAGGATGCAGAAAGAAAAGATATTATTTTGGAACAAATTTTCAATGAGTGAAGGTTTTTTGTAAAAATGATTGTTATTTTGTATTTTTAAGTCATTTAGGTTATTCAGGTTTGTTTAGATATTATAATATTTTAGTTTCTTACTTAAGTAGATTAAGTATTATAGAAATGAAAATCTCTTGGACTTTCTTTTTTGTCAGTTTGAATATTCGTTGTCATTAATGCCTATATGCAGGCTATTATTAGCTACCAACAAAGAACAAAAGATGATGAATTAATAACTTCTTTTTAAGTGTTTTATTCCCTTATATCTCTTTGTGTTCGTTTTTCTGGTTATGTTCCTATATTTGTTCTTCTCATTATTGTTTTAGTCTATTTCTCCGTATTTTTCTTGACGTTGACATTTATTTCCTCTTCTTTATCTTTATTGTTCTATTTCTCACCTAAATCTCCTCTACTTTAAACTATTTGCAAGAAAAGTTAATTTTATTGCTATTCCTGCATTGTCTCATTGAACTATGGTATTTCAATTGTTTTAATGCATTAAAGAGTGAGCTATTGAGAATATGAATATATATATATATTTGAAATAAATTCAGAATATAATATATGTATTGATGAAAGTGCGGTTACTCTTAACATCCTGCCAAAGGATCATGTACATGGGCTGCACCTGCAGAATTAGTGAACTTTCTACTCCCATTCTCATTGTAAACACTTTCTTGAGAGATCACTGTTGATGGAAACTGCGTCAAAGGTAATGAAAATATGAGGGAAAGTGCCATGTCTTATTTCAAAGAGCTGTAGACAGAAGAGTTAGAAAACAGACCTAAATTACATGGTCTGCAGTTTGCATGCTTAAAATCTCCTTGGACAGACTGCAACTCGAAGCTGACTTTAATGAATACGAAATCCATGGTTGCCTCAAAGATTGTAATGAGGATAAAGTCCTGGGTCCGGACGACTTCAATTTTAAATTTCTGCAACATTATTAGGAGGTTCTCAAAGCTGATATTTTAGAATTTTTCGAAGACTTCTACAGAAATGTCTCCATGGCTAGATCTTTGAATTCTACATTTTATTGTCATGATCCCCAAAAAAACTGGAGCTAATAACATCAAAGGCTTTCGTCATATAAGCCTTGTAGGATGCATTTACAAGCTCCTTTCTAAAGCCTAGCTAAGAGACTCTCAAACTGCTTTTACAAGATCATTGGGGAAAGCCAATTGGTTTTTATTTCAGGTAGACAAATCACAGATGCCATTCTTACAGCAAAGGAAATGGTGGATGATGTTTACAGAAATAAAAAGAGGGGTGTCCTATGCAAATTATGGACATGGAAAAGGCCTTTGATCATGTCTCTTGGAAATTTATTGATTACATGTTGGATAGCATGGATTTTGGTGAGAAATGGAGAAGATGGATCCGCATTTGTATTTCCATAACAAGTTTCGCACTAATGGTAAATGGTGACCCTTCCACGTTTTTTCCGGCTACGAGGGGTTTGAAACAAGGTGACCTTCTCTCCCCTTTATTATTCATCATTGTTATGGAAGAAGTAAACAAACTCATCGAAAAAGCTAAAAATTTACAATTATTGAGGGGCATTGAAGTGGGAAATTTCAGCACAGTTGGAAATCACTTATCTTTTTTTTGTCGATGACACCCTAATGTTTTGTCAACCAGATATTAATTCACTTCTTACTCTAAGTTGTATTCTTCTTTGCTTTCAAGCAGTATCTGGCCTTAGGGTTAACTTGCATAAATCAGAACTTGTGGAGCTTGGCACTGTTGGTAATGGGCAGACCTTGGCTCGGGTTTTAAATTGTAAAATTGCTCAATTACCCATCAAATATTTGGGCGTGCCCCTTGGTGCTAGATACGAAGACCGGAAAAGTTGGGACCCAATCATTGATACTGTGGAAAACAAATTTGCTGGTTGGAAAAGAAATTTTCTCTTCAAGGGGGGTAAATTAACGCTCATAAAAAGCACTCTATTGAATCTTTCGATCTATTATTTATCTGTGCTTCACATCCTCAAAAAGGTTGCTAAGAAATTGGTAGCCATTACAAAATCGCTTCCTTTTGTGGAGATGAGGTCAACAACAGGAAAATCCACTTTGTCAAATGGGAAGATCTCAAGCACCCTAATGTTTTTGGTGGATTGGGGATCAGATCTGTCACCACTCTTAATCAAGCTTTACTAGGTAAATGGACTTGGTGGTTTTGGAACGATAAAAACAGCCTTTGGAGGAATGTTATTATTCACAAATGGTATGAGGAAGATTTACATAATTCCAATTTATTGGATCATAGTCCACATGGTTTTAGCTTGTGGAAGAGCATAAAGCAGTCTGGGGCTACTGTAATTCAGTACTCGAGGTGTTTAATTGGTAATGGTTGTAAGGTGAGATTTTGGAAAGACATTTGGAATGGCTAGGAAACATTTCAGCACAGATTTCCCAACATATTTGCTATAGCCAGAGAGAAAAACACACTCATTGACAGTATTCTAGGATCTGACTCATTTGGCGACTGGAATTTGGCTTTAAACAGAAATTTGCAAGATTGGGAGATGGAGGAATACCTGTCTATGGCACAGATTCTGTCAAGCATTAGATTAAACAGAGACAAATTAGTTTGGAAATTGAGTAAAAATGGAGCTTTTTCTGTAAAACCTCTTTACTTCTGACTGGGTAGTCACACTAGCTCTGCCAGTCGGAAATTTCCGGCAAATATTATTTGGAAATCAAAGGCCCCACCCAGAATCTCCTTCTTTGCTTGGGAAGCTGTTAAAGAACGCATTCTAACTCTGGACAATCTCCAAAGGAGAGGTATCACCGTGGTCAATAGATGCTATTTTTGTAAATCTGCTTTGGAAACTTGCAACCACCTTTTCCTTTGGTGCCCCTATTCTCACTCTCTCTGGTCTCTGTTTTTCAGCATCATGAATTTATCCTGGGTCACTGCTGGGACTGTCAGTGGTGAACTAACTGCCTGGGAGGGGCCTTTGTAGGAGAAAAGCCAATCATAAAATCATATCCCTAGTTATTTTTTGGATTGTTTGGAAAGAAAGGAACAGTAAAACATTTGAGGGAATAAATTGAATTTTGTCGCTATCAAGGACAAATGGCTTCATCATTTTAGATTTGTTCTACTTGGTTACAACCTTGATACTATCATTGATTTTGGTTCTATAGTAGATATACTTATTGGCCTGTAAATCTTTTGCACATGAATGGCATCCCCTTGGTGCCTATTATCAATACATCTCACACTTTTTTTTTTTTTAAAAAACACTTTCTTGAGAATGCTTTTTTTACCACTTTATCTGTATATAAATAACCTTCTAAGTTTTAATGCAAGACCCATAATTTTATGAAATAGTTTTAGGGAACGCATTACTTCTTTTTAAGGGATGGAATGGGAATGCCTAAATGCCTGTTTTATTGCTGCCTCTATTTTTGTTCTTAGACACAAGAAGCAGAAGGAAGAAGATATTGCTATCTGTGAGTGCAAATTTGATTTTGGTGATCTTGATAGTGCATGTGGGGAAAGGTGCTTGAATGTATTAACCAGCACTGAATGCACTCCTGGATATTGCCCTTGTGGCGTTTATTGCAAGAATCAGGTAATTTGATGGTGGCTTCTGTAGTGACTCCTTGACTTTTTATCTTTTTCGGTGAACAATTATTATGGTCTCATATTACTCTCGCTCTTACCATGTTTCAGCTGTCCTTTTAAAGGCATAAGTATTTATAAACTGGTGCCTTTGACATCATATCTTGTAAATCATCTCTGTTCCCTTCGAACTAACTTCAGTTTTCATATAAAGGAAAATTTGTCTTTTCTTGGAATTTGCTTTTTATAATAACAATATTCTTCAGTAGTTTTTCTTCAATCATTTCTTTATGATACTGTGGACGCAAATGAAGTATTTTGCACCAGATATGATTGAAAGAGCTTTTGTCTTGGCATCTATATGATTTTCGTTAATTGAAATTTGGATGAATTTGAGAAGTTCTGTGTTTAATATACAAAATTATGTTAAAAATAATTAATATCATATTAATATTTAATATTTTTTGCTCCTAACAGAAATTTCAGAGATGTGAATATGCTAAAACAAAGTTGTTTAAAACAGAGGGGCGTGGGTGGGGGCTGCTGGCTGCCGAAGAGATAAAGGTAATGGTTGCCAACATATTCGTAATTTTTTTATTAATGTTGACAATTTAAGTTTCTGTTACTTAAAAGTTTGGTTGTAATATTGTGTTGGTTTAAGATGTCTGTGCAATGAAAAGTATTATTTTATTGCCGGCTTATTTAACACAGTTATTGCTGTTCCTTTCTTTGCTAAGGTAATTAATCTTGTAATTCTGCTAATTGTATATTGCAATGAAATATTTATTGGTGTTTCATTAAATAGCATCGGTCATTGCTTTTTTTTGTTATTATTTTATTTGAGGGTGGTTATGTTATAACCCTGACAGATTATCACTTTTGGTTACTTTGTGGGTCAAAACTGATGAACGTAATTCTGACTGTGCTCTCATTAAGATTCATTGGAATTGGGATGCTATTATTTGGTCTTCACAGGATGACCTCTTTTCATTTGTGTACTTTCGTTTTTTTTAGATTCTCTTTTGATTTTTGTGGGGGTACCTTATTTCTCGTGATTTTATCTTTCTCTTTCTTTTCCTAATATTACTTATATTTTCTATAAAAAAAATATTATAATGCAGACAGGACAGTTTATTATCGAATATTGCGGAGAAGTAATATCATCAAAAGAAGCAAAGCGAAGGTCTCAAGCTTATGAAAAACAGGGTAGAGTATAAATTTATCCCTAATGGATTTACTTCACATTTGTCTCGATCTCTTTCCTATATTTTTTGTGGTTTGGTTCAGGTCTGAAGGATGCATTTATTATTTCCTTGAATGGCTCTGAGTCCATTGATGCCACTAGAAAAGGAAGCCTTGCTCGGTTCATAAATCATTCATGGTGAGCCCTTAGCAAGGACAAAGGAAAAATGAAACATTTTAGTTGTATATTACGTTTTGTTCCTTGCACTATAGCAGTTTTCCACAGTTACATTGACTATATTCTTTCTCTAAGTCCACAGTCAACCAAATTGTGAGACAAGAAAGTGGACTGTTCTGGGAGAAATACGGGTTGGAATATTTGCAAGGCGAGATATTTCTGTTGGCAGTGAACTGGGATATGATTATAACTTTGAATGGTATGGTGGTGACAAAGTTCGCTGCCTATGCGGTGCAACCAACTGTTCTGGATTTCTTGGGGCAAAATCTCGTGGCTTTCAGGTAAATTCCAGACGAGGTGGAATAGTATTATGTCATGTGCAACCTTACTGAAACAAGGGTTAAGATTTTGATTCTGGTCTAAGCGTGAGTTTACTTTATACTGGGATGTCAATTTAGTGTTTCGCTTGTCAATTCTTTCATGGAAATTTGAACACTTGGTTCATCCTTCCACCCTGCACAATTGCACTTGAGATAGAAAATTAATGTTTGCCCTAGTGTTGGTTAATTGAAATATCACGCCTGTTCAACGTATTGACTTACTAAAGGCACGGGGTTCTGAATTAATTCTTAGTTGCAACTGGGATTTTTTTTTGTTCTTATATGCAGTTTAATTATTGAGTAAACAAAGGTGATTCTCGTGCTTTGGTGAAAAATTGATCTTTGGATCATGTGATTATCTTGAAAAAGTTTTTGGGGTGCAAGTAGAGTAGATAAAGGAGCTACATTTGTTAATGTAAAGCCTCATGTAGCAACTGAACTTTTTAATTATTTTGCAATCCTTGTATCTCAAAAAAAAAAATTATTTGGCATCCTTAGGCATCGCCCTGTTCCTTTGATTATTGGGTTTCCATTGCAGTCAGAAGAGAGATATCTTACTAGTGCGAGGAAAATGAATGACTTAAGATTAATTTTAATTGTCATCAATATCCTTCAATGATCAGGCTTGTCATATCAACTGAACCAATTAATTAGTTGTTATAGACTCCTTTGTGGGTTGATTTTATCGCAGATGTAGCAAATAACTAGCTGGAATGATAAGGGTTAGGTTATTCTGTTTTGGGAAACTTATCTCTTAGTTAGAAATTTTTATTTTAATTCGAAATTTATCTCTTAATTAGATTTATGCTATGAGAAGCCTAAACTATAGGTTTCCTATATTGTAACAAAACTAGTCTTATTTAAAGGACCTGATAATTAATAAAAGAAAGCAAGTTGAATTATAATCACCAATACTGAGATCGGAGCTCTCTCTAATGAGGTTCAAGGTGCCAAACTCCCTTTGATGAGATTGAAAATTATTTACAATAGGTCGCTCAAAGAATCATAACAAAAGAAAGAAGCAGGATCTGGAATCAGATTATCCAGTCAACTGCTGGATCTTCTCGAGATCATAACATTAGTTTTTTGAATCTTTAGGCATCAGCCTGTTCATTTGACTATTTGGTTTCTGAATCTGAGGCAGTCAGAAAAGAGATAATGAACAACTTACAATTAATCTTTTGTTATCAGTATTATTCAAGCATCAAGGATGTATAATTGAAAATTAGGGTCCAATGGAGGTGAAACCCAAGGGCTTGTTCCAATGGTGTGTACTTTCCCCCTGTGGTGATTCAGTCTTTAGGTTATATGAGGCTTATAAAAGTTGAGATGAACTTAAAAAATAATTAAAAATATGAAACACTGAAAATAGCAGAATTAGCTTTATCCTTATTAGGAGAAACTGGAAATTTGGAGTTTCGGTTAAAATAGTTGATTACTGAATTCATTGATAATGATCATACAAATGGACGGTTATTCTTTATTTTTTTATTTTTGATGTTAATTCTAACAAGAAATAATATTTTATGTGAATTCTAACAAGAAAATGGCTTGTTTACGAAAGATCAATTTCCTATCTTGTGTGGTATTGGCAGATATAGTTTCAACTTTCAATTTCTATCAGTTAATGCAATGTTCTTGTTTGATAATCTTAGTGGTAATACTGGTTTTATGTTAATTGTACTCTTTGGTTAGTGTGTAGATATGGCTTCTTATAATATTTGTTGTTTTTCCCTTTGCTTTTGTCAATACTGTCTAGTAGTTCCTTTCTTATGTGTAACTGTTATTCCAGGAGGATACTTATCTATGGGAGGATGATGATGACAGGTAATAGTTTAGAATTGGTTTCTTTTTTGTATTTATTTAACTTGAATATTTCATTGGTCTTTTGCTATGTGAAGTTGCCCTATTTCGAAATCTGATTTCATACTTTTTAATCGTGTTCGTGTATTTTAATCTTTTAAGTTTTACTTTTACTAGTAACAGGGGTAGGCTCTGCCATATCCATCATATCCACATGAAAAGGAAATGAAACCTGCATAATGTTAGTTACTGACAGGAAGGACTCTGTGGAAGATGATTTCTTTTCTATCTTTGATTACAGGTATTCAGTTGAGAAAATTCCTCTATATGATTCTGCAGAAGATGAACCCTCATTGAAGGCCCCCAGAACTGTTGACAACATAAATCCTGGATCTGATACAAATGGAAAAAATGAGTACTCTTTGACAATGGATGCAAGTGTGCAATCGGAACATGAGTTGGACTCTACTGCTCTTGTTGTCCAGCCACTTGATTCGGCTCCTCCAGTGGATGGGCTTCTTCTTTATACAGTGAAAACTGAAGCTACTGAAGAGATGAAAATCTATTCTCAGGATGCACATCAGGCCTTTCCTCAAAAGAACGCAATGATATCTCGTATCCGAAGTAATAGTGCATGCCGGAACTATCACATTGGATCAGGGCCTATTCCCAAAAAAAGATCAAAGCCGTTTAACAGGAAGTCGAAAAACCTTGTACAAAAACATGTTGATGCCAAATATGTTGCTCAACTCTTAGCATGTAAGGAAGCAGAAGAGGAAGTCTCCAAAAATGAGGTAAGAGTAGTATCTTTTCAGAACAGCATGATTCCAGGTATCCACTTTCTAATTGGAAATGAGAGGTTGCTTTCCTTGGAAAGCAGTTTCCTTTGTACTTGTAAAGGGAGAATGATGCTCCAAAATATTTGTAGGTAGTATATATTTTTCCGTTAGCAACCATGATATTATGATGTAATTTTCAGGGTGCCTGTGGTTTCATACAACTAACTAGACAAATGCGTTTCAACACATTATGGTAGTGCTTTCCCCATGCAACTGATGGAAGCCAATGATGATATCTGCATGTTCCTTTATCCTAAAACATCAAATTTTCCATTCATGTAATTATCTGTACCAGTTAAGTGAGTTGGGTTTTGTTGATTGGGATATAAGCTAAGCCAAACACATCATCCATAAATATAAACTTACCTAAACCAAACCCAAGAGGTATATTGATACTAATTGTCAATCTTATACTAACTTCTTTTGTTTTTCTGGCTGAATTTGCTTAAAAAGTTAGAACAGGTTTGAATAAAGCGAGTCTAGTCTGCTGAGGTTAAATTATCACAAAAGCAAGGGTTTCATTCATAATACTGTTATTATGTACATGTTTATATTTTGATAAAACAAATATTCAGGTTGGCAGGTTGTGAGTTTGGTTTACTATAACCTATCTTATCCTTGCCTGAAGGCAAAATTTGTTCTGGCTTTCCCAGGCTGAAACCTTTGTCTGCACGTTTGGATGGAGCTTAATGGATGAGGCACAGACCTTTGATTTTTTTTTTTTTTTTAATTATGAGCTACTGTGCAGGAAATGAAGAACGAAGCTGCTGCCCATCTTGCTTCCTTGTATGACGAAATTCGACCTGCCATTGAAGAGCATGAAAGAGATAGCCAAGACAGTGTTGCCACAAGCGTAGCTGAGAAGTGGATAGAAGCCTGCTGTATGAAACTGAAAACAGAATTTGATCTTTACTCCTCTATTATCAAGAATATTGCCTGCACTCCTATAAAGGTGCAAGATAAAGCCAACACTTGTGGACAAAATGACCATGAACTAAAGTACTTGGAATATTGAAGACCATGTCTCGTGTAATGGCGAACATGATACTTCTATTTATTGAAGATGAGGAGTGTGAGTGGTAAGTTCCAAAACCTGTTTATTTGAGATTTCTTCTTTATCTCTAAAACCTCGATCAATTGACTTTCAGATAGGTAGGTTAACCTACTTAGAGAGACTTTTCCATCTGCCATTACAGGAATAACTAAAGAGCAAGAAATATGGAACTGTTGTACATAAAACCAATAGAACTCAAAAACAGTTTAAAATTTTGAACTTTTAGTGCCAATTTGTACCAGATTATCTCTGTTGTGCTCGTCCCACCTCTATTAAGAAGTCAAGGATTCTGGCACCATGAAGAGCTTCTACTTTCAGGTCAACTAAGCAATAGTTATGGATTTAAAATCCATAGTAGGTAATTTAGCTTTACGTGGATGAAATGATTTTGAATGCGGGAGTTGTCTGCGTGTGCATGTGTTACGTGATTTCTGCTAAATTCCCATATAACTTTAAAGGTAGCTGAAAACTTAAGTCAGCAGTTAAGGGATATATGAGATTCACATGATATAAACCAATATCAATTTGCCTCCTGGGACAGAATAAGCAAGTAAGCTTTTGTATGACGCAGTGTTGCCAATTGCGATGCTTGGTATGTTATATGGTCCTTTTTGCTCGTTGGACATTTTCGCCATTTGAATTTTGAACCAGGTTTATTTATTGGAACGATGTTTTTTGTTAAACAAAGAAGCGGTTTGCCTGAGTTGCTGAGTTACAGTTGGCGATGGAGAGTCGGAGTCAAGGGGTTGGGTACATGGGGCAACAATGCCGTGTGGGTCCCACCCCTGAAAATTGCCTGGTAATCCACTTGCTGTCTTCGTCCTTTGCGGCGCTTTTTTTTTTTTTTTGTCTCGACCATTTTCGTTGTCTTTGGTAAAACTATCTTTTTAACGCGATTAAAAGCCATACTAATAATGTTTATTATACTCGCTTTTAGTTTTACCAAGTTGACTTTGACATTTTAAGGTATATTAGATTAGTTTTTCCCTTTTTTAGAAAAAAAATAATAATAAAATAAAAACATTTAGTCGGTCAGGCTACTAGTATTGACTGGTAATGACGACTAAAAGTACCCCCCCACCATTACACTCCCAAAATCTCATTCTCTGCCACGTTACCACTCTAAGCCTTCCAAGTCCAAACGTTGACTCGTCCTCCCGACGACTCCACTCCCCTTCCCATCCTTTTGATGGAACAAAATTCCCGTTAATGGCGGCTTCTTCTTCTTCTTCTTCTTTCTTAATCCTCCCTCTCTCGGCTTACCTCTCCCAAGGACGCCATGAATGCAACTCTTCAATCAATCTTCGCTGCCGCCGCGAGCTTCTTCTTCGTGACCCTCGTCTTCTTCTTCCTCCTCCTCGTCTGCAAGAAGGTCCCCAAGAAGTCTACTCAACGCCACAGCGCTGTCCAGCCCCGATCTCTTGATCTCAGATCCGTCTCCACCTCAGAGAGCGCCTCCTTTGACCCTTCCCTCCACCAGATCTCCATGGCAGAGCTTTCTGTCGCCACAAACAACTTCTCCTCCGACCTCATCATCGGCGACGGCAGCTTCGGCCTCGTCTACCGCGCCCAGCTCTCCAACGGCGTCACCGTCGCCATCAAGAAGCTCGACCCAGACGCCTTTCAAGGCTTCCGTGAATTCCGCGCCGAGATGGAAACTCTCGGCCGACTCCGTCACCCCAACATCGTCAAGATGCTCGGATACTGCGTCTCCGGTCCCGACAGGGTCCTTATATACGAGTACGTGGAAAGGGGGAGCCTTGACCAATGGATTCACGACACAACCTCCTCCTTCCCGCGGTCGTCGTTGTCATGGGAGATGAGGGTAAAAGTGGTGAGAGGAATAGCCAATGGGCTAGCCTACTTGCACGGCCTTCAAGCCCCAATAATCCACAGAGACATCAAAGCCAGCAATATCCTCTTGGACTCCAACTTCGAGGTTCACATCGCTGACTTCGGCCTCGCCAGATGCATCCAGGATTCCCACACCCACGTCTCCACCCAAGTAGCCGGCACCATGGGCTACATGCCGCCGGAGTACCGGGAAGGCAACACTGCCGCCACTTTCATGGCCGACGTCTACAGCTTCGGGATTCTGATGCTGGAGATTGCCACCCAACGCAGACCCAATTGGCCGGTCAAAATGGACGGCAGAGAGGTGGGGTTGGCGGAGTGGGCCAGAAAAATGTTGGCCAATAATCGGCATATGGACATGGTTGACTCCAAGGTTGCGAGAGAAACTTTGGACGAAGAGAAGGTCCATGAATACTTTAGAATCGCTTGTATGTGCGCCAACGAGGCCAAAAGAGAAAGGCCTGCAATGAGAGATGTGGTTACCTTACTGCTACCACTCTGACATCATTTTACTGTGCGTCGTCTCTGATAGTTATATATATACTGATCTATACTTTTGATTCTCTCTCTCTCTCTCTCTCTCTCTCTCTCCCTCTTCTCGTTTGAGTCAGAAATTTTAGTTGGTATGGGTTTCGGTTGTTGGTAGCCATAAAGGTGGTGAATTCTTTTGTTCGAGCTTTTAAATATCAGTTGAAGGTTCATGTATGAGCATGTATATATCTTCTGTTTTTTTTCTTCTTCCTTCTTCTTTTCTTCTTCTTCTTTTCCTAATGAGTTCATAATTAAATACTCGGATATAATTGTGTATTAGAAGCTTTGAAGGTGGTTGTAGTTAGGAAGTGATAATGGTTAGATTTCTCAATTTGGGAACACATCTCCTTCATCAATTTGATTTGGTTTTTCTCCCTACAATTATGTGATTTCTTTATTTGATCTTTATGGTATTTTTATAATTGAATTTGTGATATTTGGTTAATTTTGTAATTTAATATTTTAGTCCATTATATTTTGATTTTTCCTTGTTTTACCCAAGTTTATGAGTTCCATAGGTATGTTTCTTTCGTTTTCTGGAATTATGTTGTTATGTATGTCAGTGTTGAATGCAGCAGATGACAATTACTGGTTCCATCATATTCATCTGCATGATTGTTAATGTATATGTATACGTGAAATATATGTTGTGCGTGCATGTTTGTTTTATCCGTAGGATTACTTGTGCAATGACGACAACTTCATCCCGCTTGATCATAATTCTGTGCAACTCATTTGATGCAATACAATTTAATTTTTTAAAATAAAAATTTATTTGCTTGTATATTTACACATATATATATATGTAATACATATTATGCTAATTACGAGAGTGTGAATTTGAAATGATATTACTACTTTTCAAATTAATTCTGATCCTCGAACAAAAGACGATGATGTTATTTACTAACTTATCCTGCATGCGGTCGTTCGTTCGAGTAAGACAATTATTCAGGTCTTAATGTAAAATAGAGATTACAATTTTTATTTTTATTTAAAAGTAATATTCACACATACTATAATGTATTAAAATAATTGGTCCTACATGTTATTTATTTTTATTCAATTTTGTCTTTGTTTTAATTGTGCCTCATATTAATTCTATAAATTTATTTTTTTAAAAAAATTATTCTCTCTGTGTCATTAGTTATTGACATCGTTAACTTAGTGATCACATATCAAATTTATTGACACACAATAACTTTTGATTGCTCTAATAAAAAGTTAATTAAATATTACTATTGTGAAAAAAAAGTTAAATGTTACAAAGTTAGCCATTAATTAGAATTTCTCATATACTCAGCAAAATATAAAAAGAATCTAAAAGAGTTGTACAATAATTGACAGAATACAAAGGCGAAGGAAAAGGAGAAGAAGAAGAAGAAGACGACATATGTTTAAAGTGACTCTTGACTCCCTCATTGCATCTGGCGAATAAAAAACTGACATTTTCTCATGCTTCTTATGGCTTGATAAATGCAAGATAAGGACGTCACAATCTTGTGCTCCTCAGCAAGAGCCCTAATGGCATGATTTTTGGGAGAAAGAGGAGAGATGGGTTTCGTTAAGGGCTATTTGGGTATGCTCTTTGGGTTTTATAAGATAGGAGATCGTTTGGATTGGAAAATGATTTACTGGACATCTCATTTTTATCTGGATTTGAACCAGAGGTCGAACACGATTATGGAGAGATAAAAGGTAAAACAGAGAAGATGAAGAGCTAGCAAGAGAGCGAGAGAGGTAAGGGGTTTAGAAGGTTCTAGGATCCATCTCTTTTCGTGCTCTACAAATATGGGGAGGAAGGAGAGATTGAGG